TGGCCCATAGGCCCTCCCAGGGTGGTTGCTATGCTCTGCGTATCATTGCTGTGCACTTGTCTGTAAAGCACACCTAGAGTGGTAAAGCATAACGCCGCCAGGTAACTTCTGATTGGTTCCTTGCCAATAGGCAGGCATTTGACTTCTAGTGACTAGGACAAGGTCATGGCAAGCACGAGTTACTGTCATGGCTGCCGAAATGGAGAGCTGGTCCCTTCATTCCCCATTTTTTTTGAAATTCCAATCATGGAATTGCTGTCTCTCTAGTGCCCCCATCAGGGAGCGGGGAATCTTTCCCATGTTACTTCCTGCTGACTTTGGGATGAAGTTAGGGACCCCAGAAGGTTGAAATGCTAGTCAAAAGCAAAAAAAAAAAAAAAAAAAAAGGAATTTAGGCAATGGGGAATCCATCAGGGGCTGTTGGCAGACTCTGTTGCAGAGACAGGGGGTGTCCACATCAGCTGGACTGGTTCACATCTACAGCAAGTCCAGGGCTAGCAGTCTACTTAGTCAGCAACTGATACTCAGATGTCTGCCAGAAGCAGAAACCTGTTTAAGACATGCTTAAACTAGGATTATTTACTGAAGCCCACAGTGCAGAAAAAGCAGATATCTGGATATCTGTTCAAACAGCAGGAACATATTTATAATTTTGAGTCCTAGCAATAACTACAGATTTGGGCTAGAAGCAAGTACATTTTTCTTTTGTCCAGAGAGCCAGGTATGGATTGGACAGAGGTGCCTTTGGCCTGATAAAAAGCCTTTTAAGTTTATACTTAGATGACAACCAAAATAAACTTGAAAACCTTGAACTTGTGACTAAACAGAAGGTAGTCATTACTTTATCAGCTATCATGCTGACTATAGCTTATAGTGGATCTGACTTTCTGATGCTGTCAAGCTGACAATTAATATTTCAGAGATCTGAGAAGGGTATATTTTATCCGAATCTACTAAAAAGTGACAGAAGCCAGTTAGAAGCCAGTCCATATACAGTTAGCCATACCCAAGTTTCTCCATTACTTCTGGAGGCAGATTTCTCAAAGAACAGCAATCTTCGCCAGGCCTATAAGGTGAGAGGTTTTTT